AACCTGGCAGATTACAACCGCACCCTGACCAGCACCCTGGCTGCACCAACAAGCACCGACAGCAACCACCACGCCACCTTAAGCACACCAAGCAGCACTGCCATTGAGATGTGCTTGTATAGAACAAGGGTACCGTTTCTTTTTTCTGTAGTCCATTTTAGTAGAGGGTTGCCCTCCCAACCCAAAAAGGGGTGAAAGAGCGGGCACCTAGCCGGGGGTCCAACTCCTATCAGACACTCCCAAACTGTTCGACAAATCTAGGCTGGAAAAATCTGACCCCAGCAACAAATCATCTTTTTTGCCTAGTGGAAAACAAAGGGGACCCCCAAAAAAGCGAGAAAAAAAAGAAAAAAATGGGGGCCTAATTCTGGGGAAGATATTTGGCCATAGCCGCATAGGTGAGGAACTCGGTCTGGTTGATGTTCAGAAAAATGTCCAGGATGGAGACCGGCCAGGGAGAAGAATCGAGAAAGTCCAAGCTGATCCTTGGCAGAGTGCGTCTTTTTGTTTGGAAGATGTGTGGTTTGGAGGTCAGGGGTGGTTTCTCTACAATAACTAGGGGTTCAAACCCACCTGAGCAAAACCTTTTGCAAGCTTGACGGAAAGGCATGTTGTTTCCAAACACTCTAAGGGACGATTCGGCCACTGCTGGCCGGAAAAGCCGGCAAAACAACTCACTTCTTGACTGGACGGGCCACGAAATACCTGCTCCCAAAAAACAGGCAGGCACTTGGCTAAATGTTAAGCCCCACGGGTCGGGAGAAATCTGTTGAAACCCCGCGAGGCGGACCACAGTTCTGCCGAGCGCGTTGAAATGGATTGCAACCAGTTGCATGGTGCCGAAGCAACGGTTGCCCAACAACAAGAAGGCCACAACACCCATGCCTGCTCGCTAGACACCAAGCGCTGAACAAATCTGCAAAAGACTTGTATCCCAGGATCTGAGGAAATATCTTTTGTCCCACCGCCCAGAAAGGTTCCGCTTCGACCAACCCTAGAGAACCTTGCTGGGGCGCTACCTAAGAGCTGCGTGCTTCTTTTGAGCTTCCAAATGGGTGCCACTACCCACCCCTGCATTTCCTCAGAACCCCCCCCCCCAAAAAAAAAAAAAAGTGACTGAGCCAAAACATACAGGGAACTGAAAGCTTAAGTCATTCCACGCAACAACGCCCCTCTTGAGGCCCCCAAACATTTCGAAAGCCAGTTAGCCTTCGCAGCCAATACTTTGGCCTAGACCCCACATGGCAAGAAGTCAAATCACACTGGAGGTCAGACCTGAACCCTTCGATTCCTTCAAGATGCTCTTTGCCCAGGATGGGCTCCACGTAGCCGAAGTCCTTGCACGAGTCGGCGAGTCCAGCTCGAGTCCAGGGGGCTGGGGCTGGGAATCAGTGCACTTAGCTTCTTTCATGCGTCAGGGCCACGAAACCCAACAGCCACCCTAGCTGTACGTCCCAACCCTTCCTTTCCAGGATCCTTCTTTTCAGGAAAAGTCCCAAACCTCGAAACCCGTAGCTTTTTGGGTTTGGGCTTGCAATGGAACAGCAGAGGGTGAAAAGGGTGGGGGATCGACTTTAGAGCAATCAGAACGGTGCCCTTCTGCAGATGAACATGGCCCCCCAACTAGAACACAAAAGCAAACAAGACAGCTCCGATTTGAAGACTCCCTTTCAAGTCGGACCCTTACCTTACCGCATGCGAAGCGGCTCCGTTTGCAGCCGGAAAGGCGTTTTTTCACTGCATTCCGTGAGCGCACTGGAGAGGACAGTTGTTGGTGGTCGGCCAACTTTGTAAGTAGGTTCTAACCATGGATGTCCCTGTGGGATACCCTGTAGAGCTCCGTGTCGCGGCCCCCTTCCAAGCAGTATCTAGAAACCCCAATGAAGAAACATGACATCTAAACCTTATTTCTTATGGCTTTATCCTTGGGTCTGTTGGTACAACCTGCACTATCCTTTCCAAGCACTATCTACAGGGGGACGGTCACCCCACTCATCCCGTAGTCGGCGGAGGACAACTGGCCGTGACAAGGGCTGTCTGAAAGCCTGAGCGCCTTTCCAGCGCGGCTCGAGACGAAGGAGCACAAACAAACAGACAGACACACAGACAGACAGACGGACAGACGGACAGACAGACGGAAAGACAGGGAGGCAGGGAGGCAGGCAGACAGACAGTCGGACAGACAGAC